CGGGGGCGCCCCCCTCCTTCCCCGTGAGCGCGCTGGAGACTGCTTGGCCTTCCCCCGCGCCCCCTCCCCGCCTCTCGGGCGTGGGGGAGCCCCCCCACCCTCCGAATCAGGGACCCCAAGGGAGGGGAAGGGAAGGGAAGGGAGGGGGCCGTTGGGAGGGAGCGTCGTGTTTTATTTTTTTGTGGGTTGGGGGAGGGGGGAGGGCTGTGGTGTTTTTTGCAGTTTGAGATGTTTTCTTTTTAATGTTTTGCTGAGTGCATGTGGGGGCGGGGCAGGAGGAAGGGACTCCCAGCCTAGCCCAACTCCTGGAGAGGGGCCCAGAACACATGAATATAGAGTTATACCTACAAACTATATATATGCTGTATATAAATAAGTAGAAAGGTAAAGAGATGGGATACAGAAAGGCAAAGTGACTACGGGTGGACGTGGGCGTTCATCACTTCTTCATTCATCATTCCACAAGGGTTTTATTAAGCACCTGCTATGTACCAGGATGGCACTAGGGAGGGAGCATAAAAAAGCACACAGAGGGACTCGTTCATTCACTACCAGCAATTTAATTGTGTACTTACGAACAATTTATTTGGGTACTTATGTGCAATTTGTTTGTGTGCTAGGCATTGTGGAGAATGCTGAGCCCACGGAAGGGAGGAAGACAAACAGGGTCCCCAAAGTCCTCAGAGAATTTACATCTTGTGCACAAGGCAGACGTTCATCAAAGAACTGTGTTCATAAACAAGTTACAGTTAAGACAAAAGAGGAATTAAAAAGGTTCCAAAATGCTCCATCAGGGAGGCTTCACCCAGTTTAAAAGGAAGGGATATTTTAGCTAACACTGAAAGGATGGCAGGAAGCCAGCCAAGTGAAGCTGGAGGCAAGGGTCTCAGCCAGAGAACAGGATATGCAAAGCCCTGGGGCAGGAAGAGTTTCCGGAGAAGACGCCTGTATGTTGTGTGAGCTAGGTTCAGATGGAAGATGAGGCTGGAGATGTAGACAGGGCCAGACTGCCCAGGGACTTGTAGGTCAGAACAAGAGTTTAGGTTTTATTCTGAGGGCCATGGGGAGCCATGGAATGGCTTTAAACAGGATCATAACATGAATGATATACAAAGGGAGGCAAGAACTCAGAGACAAAGGTGAGAGGCAGAGGTGCACTGAAATACAGCATCAAACACAAGTACTGGCCCTTAAAACTCACACTCTGTGAAGGGAAGCAGATAATTACACAAATACTGAAGTGTAGGCATGGTGTCTGGTGTGCAGGAGAAGCACTGGGAGTTTGAAATTCATGTTTCACTCATTCATTAATTCAGCCATTCACTCCTTGACATTTTTGAGCATCTCCTAACATGCCACGCAGTGTGTTAGAATCAGGATCCCCAGTGATGCTTCCAAGGAGGAGTCAAAAACTGAAATCAGGCAGAGCAATTGGTGCTGGGCACCCTGGACAGAGAACAAGAGAACAGAGTGACCCAATGCAGGACTGGGCAGTACTCAGGGAAACTCCTGGAGACCATCAGGGCCAGCCTAGGTTTCAAAAGAATGATTAGGATCCTACCAGGTAATGAAGGGGGTGAGGAAGGCTTTCGTAGCAAAAGAACAAGTTGGGGCCCCAGGTGGGGGTGAAAGAGCATGATGGATTGGGGACAGGATGCAGAAGGTCAGAGTTGGGATGGGAGGTAAGACCAGAGAAGCAGCTAGAAGCCAGAGTCTAAAGGTGCTGGGGTTTCAGCCTGAGGGGTTTGGACTTTGTTCTAAGGGTGGCAGGAGATACAGAGGAGTTTTCAGTAGATGAAGAGCAGGATCAGACGTGGGTGTTAGAGGGAGCCACCTGGGATGTGGGAAAGGGGTGGACGGGAGGCTAATGCTGTGGGATAGATGAGAGAGGATGGCAGTTGAGCTGGGAAGGGGCTGTTGGGGTAGATGGATGGCGGGGTGGATGTGAAGGTCACAGAAGGGACAGCGCTTAGTGGGTTTCCCTTCATTTGCTCAGCAAATATTTCCCAAGTTCCCTTGTGTACTAGGCCCTGTGCTCAGTGATGCTGGGGGTGCAGAGAGGGTTCAGAGCCTGTCGTGCCCTCCAGGGGCTCCCAGTCTGGTGCAAAGTCAGACATGGACACAAGACGGGGGACCGGAGGAGCAGTTAGCCATGATGCCCTTCTTCCAGGGGCTCCACCAGCCTCTACTTTGATAACATAGGGCAGCAGAAAGGGGTGGAAGAGAGGAGGGACATGGGCCCAGACCTGGGTATTGGGAACTTCCTGCTGGGGCCCCTGTGGGTGGACCTGAAGGCCTGGAGGGCAGGGGTCCAGGGAGGAATTCCACAGGGACAGTGTTGGAAAGAGATGCTGGGAAGTGTAGGGAGTGGAATATGACTAGTGGAACAGGGGAACTTTGTGCAGGAATGACAGATGGAGAGAAGAGGGACCGGGGAAGTGGAGTTAAAAGAGACAAATGGGGGGGGGTGCCTAACTGGTTCTAGAGAAGAAAGGACAAACATAAAGCAAGAAAGAGGTGGAGGGTGAGCAGAAGGGAGAGAGTTGGGGAGGAGGGAATTTGGGGGAGGATGAGGGCAACAGAGACCAAAACGAGGTGAGTCACAGGGATATAGGAAAAAAAGTCAAAGACACAGTAAGGTGATCCGGAGAGGGAGAAAAAAGGACATGAGAGATTGACCCAAAGATGCACAAACCAGAACAGAGAAGTCTTGGGAGATGCAAAAAAAAGGGAGAAAAAAACAACACAGAGGTGGAGTGGTGGCACTGCAGAGGAAGATGTAGGGATATGCCAAGAAAGAAATATAGAGACTTAGAAGCAAGCACTGTGTATAGGAACGGTCCATTTCTTTTCTTTTGTTTCAATCTTTGAGAAATATTCATTGAGCACCAATCTGTTCCAGGCCAGTCTAGGTGCAAGGAATGGTGAACACATAGCTGAGGTCTTGCTCTCCTGGAACTCACAGGAGAGAAAAGCAATCAACAGTAAGAATTTCCGCTACGGAGAAGTGCTTTAAAAAGGGAGCAAGATGTGGTGACTGTAGATGAGGTGCCTCAGGAAGGACTCTGCAGAGGGAACAAGGGTTTTGAGAAGGGAAGGGCTTGACAAGCACTCTGGCCACCAGAGGCAACACGACAGCCCTGAGGAGCCATAGATTTTCCAGGGTGCCCCCTGGTGGGCAGATGAACAAGGATGAGGTCAGAAGCATGGGCTGGGGGCTAGTCGCGTAGGAACTTGTCACCCTGGGAAGAAATCTGAATTTTATTCTAGACTTGATTGGATGAGCAGAAGCATGACGTGCTTCTATTTTTATTTAAAAACAAAGTAACAGAATCACTCTGCTGTGTTGAGAACAGAATTAGGAATAAACCTGGAGGCAAGGAGTTAAGCAGCTGTCGTCCTTGTCCAGTTGAGGCTGATAGTGGCCTGGACCAGTGTGAAATCGGTGAGGATGGAGAGAAATGGGAGAACAGGGCATGGGATTTTGGAGGGAGAGCTTATGGTGGTGGTGAACTGGATGTAGCAAAGGAGGGAAAGAAAAGCCACAGAGAAAGAGGAAATCTTTTAACTGGGCACGTGAAGCTATGTGGTGCTGCTGTGTGTGGCCTGGAAGGGGGTTACCAAGGGAAAGGATGAAGATTTTTGTAGGAGGAATCAAGCAAACTCCTTGGGACATGACAGGTTGGAGATGCCTGTGAGAAATCCAAGCTGGGGTATCAGGTAGCCAGCTGGATATCTGAGACTAGAGTTTGGGAGAGAGGTCATGATTGCGAATATAAATTTTGGAAGTGTCAGCATTTAGGAGATAGCATATTTAGAGCCTCAGGACTGGATGAGGTGATGTAGGAGGTAAGTGCAGAGAAGTGACTCTGGCCAGAACCTAGGGGGTGTCTGCATGGGGCAGAGGGAGAGGAGGATGTAGTTAAAAGAGCCAGGAGTGACCATGAAGGAGGCGGAGACCAGGAGGAAACGGCCAGCGGTGCTGATGAGGCTGAGAATCCGAGGGATCCATGGAGCAAAGTGGACGTCAGTTAGATAACATGACCCTGATAAGAGGTCACTGCCGTGCAGTGGTGGGGACTGGAGTCCTGCCTGAGTGACTGGAAGCAAGAGACTGTGGGAGGGGAAGGGAGGTCAGGCCATCCTTTGGTTATGAAAGTGACAAGAGCTTTCCCACCAAAGAAAGTTCATACCCTTTCTGTGAAAGGAGAGAAAAGAAGACAGGCAGACAGGGAAGACAGAGGAAAGAAACATACCCCTTGAAAGGAGAGAGCTGTTATAGCAGGCAAGGAGAAAGATGGGGGAGACCCCAGGGCCAGGAGGGGAAGATGGATTCAGGAGGCAGGGTAGGGAGCTGCAGGAAGGTGTCTGATTTCTCAGAATGAAGGTGCCCGTGGACCTCACCCAGCACTGCTCAGCCTACCTCCCGGCTCAGGTTGCTGTCAGCCCCAGGCACATTCTCGGATTCCCCTCTGGGTCCTGCCAAGGCCTGGGAAGACCCTGGGAGGTGAGGCAAAGAACAGGTTTCACTCATTCATTTAAGAAGCAGTCCCTGGGGCCTTCCAGGTGCCAGGCCCTGCAATCTCAGAGCTGGGAGCTCAGATCTGAGAGCTCAGATCTGAAGACAATCAGCCAATCAAAACATGAAGGGAGGTGTGGGGCCCTTGGGCACTGAGGAAATGCGGCAGACACCTTCCCTAGCTTGGGAGGGGATGTCTGTGCATCACCACCTCACTTCGTCCCTTCATCCATAAGCTCATTCATTCATTCATTCATTCAAATCAGGTACGCACATTTCCAAAGGCCTCCTGGGTATATGGAGTGTGGGCCGGGCGGTGCTGAGGACAATGAGATGAGTTTCTCTTGTACCTGGGCTCTGCCCCAGGCTGGGGAGAGAGCAGAACTCAGGGCAATGCGTGCTCCAGTGTAAGCATCACTGGGCCCTTGGGCGTCCAGAGCAGGTGGACAGAGAAGGCCAGGGTCCACCAGGTCTGGCTGGAGCAGCCAACCATGGGCCAAGGAGTTGATGAAAGGTGGGTCCTACTTGGGCCGTCGCAGAGGGGCTGAGGGAGGGGGTGAGGGGTGAAGATCAGGCCCTGCTGCCATTCCACACGGCTGTCCCCGTCCCTGCCCCTGGGGGAGCTGAAACTGCATGGAAGGTCCCCCAGGGGTGCCCCGTCTAATAAACTCGATAAAGAGGACTATGGCTCTGGTTCCCACACCCCGACACCAGCTTCTCTCTCCCTGAGGCCAGCCTGAATCTGCCCTTCCATCCTTCAAGATGCAAGGGATCTGGGCCCTAGTCTCCTTCCTCAGGCCTGGGGTTCTAAGCCCCAAGTCCTCCTTCCTCACGCCCATGGGTCCAGGCCCCAGCCCCTCTTCCCTCACACCCAGGGGTCCAGGCCCCCAGCCTCCTCCTCCCTCACACCCAGGGGTCCAGGCCCAACCCCCCCCCCTCCCTCAGACCCAGGGGTCCTGCATCTCTCCCCCTCTTCCCTCGGACCCCGCAGTTCAGGCGCCCAGCCCAGCCGGGCCTGCTCCGGACCAAAACTGATTTCCCTGCCCTGTCCCCTCTCCTGCCACCTAGGAGATAGGACCCTTGGCTCCCGCCTTTGCCCCTTAAGGAAGTAGAAGTCAGGACCCGGCCCCCAGCCCCTCCTCCCCGGGCAGCCTTCCTCCTCCCCCCCTCGTCCCCTTAAAATACCCGGGATCCCTATGGCGACAGGCGCCGGCGACAGGTGCGGGTGTTATTTAAGGGTCAAGCCCGAAATAGCCGGCGAGGGTGAAGGGGTGGGCGGATGGGGCCGAGGCGGGGCGCGGGCCGAGCGGCGGGCCGAGCGGGCGGCGGCGTGCAGACCCGACGGTCCGGAGGCATCGCGGAGCTGGGGTCGCCGCGGCGCCGAGGCAGGAGAGGGAGAGGGGCCCCGGCCCAGGAGGCGGGAGCGGGAGGCCTGAGGGAGGCGCCTGGCCTGGAGCTGAGCCTGGAGCCATCCCGGCCCAGCAGGCCCTGGGAGCCGGGGGGAGGGGAGCCGAGCGGTCCCAAAGGGACACAGAGTCCTTCCGGGTCCCACTTGTCCTTTGAACCGCGGGGGGACTCTGGCCCCATTTCCTGAGCCGCAGTCTGGACCGCAGCCCCTTCATCTGAGCCCCAGTGGGGACCCCAGGTCCCCCTCCTGAGCCCTGGGGGTGTCCCTCAGCCGCCTTCTCTGGACGCCACTGTGTCTCTCGGCCACTGGTCCCCTCTCTCAGCCGCAGGGCAGCGCTTCTCTGAGCTCTCCTCTTTGAATGGCTGGGGAGAAATCCCATCCCCTCTTCCTGAATTCCACAGGCCTCCAGCCCCCTTCTCTGAACCCCAGCTAGAGCTCTGCTGATCTCCCCCTGTGAGAGTTGGGGGGAGACCCACGGCCTCTCTGAGACCCAAAAGTAATTCTGATCTCCCCTTCAGAACCCCCACCCCAGTCTTTTGTCTTCTGAACCCCAGAGGGGACCCAGCTCCTCCTTCCCTAGACTCTGAGCCCAGAGAAGCCAGGAAACACCTTCTCTCAAGCACACAGAGACCTCAGATCCCTTCCCTGGTACCCCAAACTCTGAGCCCTAGAGGGGAGCCCAGATCCTTGCCCAGGAAACGGTTTCCCTCGGGTGATCCCTCCCAGTGGGCACCCCAGAGCAGCCCCCAGAGCTCCAGCTGACACTCAGTTCTCCTTCCTCTGGAGCTCTCGGGGACCCCTCCTGGGCACCCAGTTTCCTGCTCTGAGTCTGGGAGGACTTTGCTTTTTCTCTGGTTCCATCTTCTTTGCTGAGCTGCTGTGGGTACCCCCAGGCCCTCCTCTGACCCTCTGAGAGTTCCCAGCTTGAGGGTCTAGTTTTCCCTCTGCTGAGCCCTAGAGGTGACTTCCTCGTCCCCATCTGAGGTTCCAGAGAGGGCTCAGATCTTTCCTTTCACAAATCAGCGAAAACTGAGCCCCTCACACCCTTCAAGACCCCAGGCGCTTCCCTCTCCCTCCCCACCCCCGAGAGCCGGCCTCAGCTCTGCCTCCTTTGCACCTGAGCCCCGCTGCCGGAAACCAGGATGATGATGTGGTCCAACTTCTTCATGCAAGAGGAGGACCGGCGGCGGGCGGCGGCGGGCCGGCGGCGGGCTCGTGGCCTGCAGAAGTCCCAGATGACCCCGGAGCGCGAGGGGAAGATCAAGCTGGCGCTGCTGCTGACCTCCGTGGGCGCCACACTGGCCGTGCTGGCCGTGGGCACCGAGTTCTGGGTGGAGCTCAACACCTACAGGGACAACGGCAGCGCCGTCTGTGACGCCGCCCACCTGGGGCTGTGGAAGCTGTGCACCAAGCGACTGTGGCAGGCGGACGTGCCCGCGGGCAGAGACACCTGCGGCCCCGCGGGGCTGCCCGGAGGTGAGAGGCTGCACCCCCGCCCAGGGCTGGTACCCCACAGACAGCAGGGGGGCCCGTGTCTGGCAAAACCGTGCCCCAGAAACAGCCCGTGCCCCGGAGAGAGCCTGAACCCCAAGGACAGAGAGACTGCACCCTCAGAGTGAGCCATACCCGCATCACCCTGTGCTCCCGGGACGACCTTTGCCCCAGACACAAATGGGGCAGGGAGAGAGTCTGTACCCCCAGACTAGCCTGTGCCCCGAGACCAGGCTGCACCCTTAGACCAGCAGGTACCCCCAGACCATCCTATGACATCCAAAGCTCCTATACTTCCAGCACAGGCTGTGATCCCAGACACTTCTGTGTCCCCAGACCAGCCTGTGTGTCCCTGGAGAAACCTTGTGCCCAGAGACCCAGCCTGCGACATCCAACGCAGCTGGTGCCCTCAGACAGCCCGCACCCCCTGTGCCCTTAGAGGAAGAGTCTGGGTTCCTGGTGTCAGCTTGCTCCTCTCACACTGGAGACAGCCTGCACTTCCAGCCCGGGGGCCCTGGGGAGACAGCCCCACCCCAAAGTAGAATCTCTGTCACTTCCCTCCTCCTGATCCCACCAAGCTGAGCTCTCACCGAACACCTCCCAACATCCCCAGGCAGACCTTGTGCTTACAGGAAATGGCCATTTCCTATTCGCTTCACCTCAAATTCCCACACTAGACATGCCAGCCCTTCTCATCTCATACAGACACCTCCACACCCCTCACTTCCCCACAGGGTGGCTCTCACCCCTACGCATGCCAGAGGGCTATCCCGTGTCTCTCGCTCTCCCTGGCAGGGCATGCCATGCCCCAGACTGACACCAGTGGGACATCCTATACCCCTTGGGAGTGGGCACAGGATCTCACTCCACCTCTACTGACCCAAGGAAACTCTGTAACACCCCCGCAGGGCTCGTTCAGGATGCCATGTGCTCAGACTCCCCTACAGCATCTCCAAACTTCACTCTCCAAGTGATGTCCTATAATCTCAGTATCCCTCAGGGAAGGTCTCTCATCCCTCTGGTGTCCAGATGGGATTTCCCGCCTCCTTCCCTTGTCCAGATGTGGTCCCAAAATAGGATGGTCTAAGCCCTCGATAGCAAGGTGGGGTGCCAGGCACTCTTGTTATCTGAGGCACCCACCCACTCAGTCTGCAGATGGGCTAGTTCACAAACCTCAGAGCCTCAAGCAGGAAGTTCCCGAAGTTTAGAGAAATGGGGTGCTCTGGTAATAAAAAATATTATATGCTTACATAGTGGCCGACTCTGTTCTAAGTACTTCACCTGCATCAACTCATCAATCCTCATAGCAACCCTGTGAGTAGTTACTATCATCCCCAAAATGAGGAGCAAGAAATGTTGAGTGGCTCAGTCTCTGCACCCCGGCTAGTCATACAGGATCTGAACCCTGGTCATCTCTCTTCTTAACAACTACATTATATTGCATCTCACTCCATAATATGTTCCAGAGGTCCTCACTGCACTGGAATGGCCCCACCCCTCCTAACTGCACAAGGTGGGGTCCCTCACATCCCTTGACGTCTCTCTATTGGTCAGAAAAAGATTCAATCTCCTTATAGGACCATCGCCATCATCCCACAATCCCGACCCTTCACAGGACATCTCACAAATTTCAGTATCTCAGAAATAACCCGCACATCCCACTGCACATCAAAAAACATCCCAAAGGACTACAAGAGGGGTGACCCATATCCTACTCTTTTCAACCTCTGGGATCAGAGACAAGGTGTCCTAAATCATTAGTAGCCAAAATGGGATGCCAGACACCCCCAACTCCCTCAGAAAGATGTACCACACCTTCTTACTCTCTCGATGGGACTTCCCATTTCCCTCGAGGATGAAGACCGTGTCTCCTTCAGCTGGCTGCTACAGAGAGCATCCTCACCCTTTGCTCTGCTGCATGAAGCATCCTTTACTTCTTGCTGCTGCAGGATCAGGACTCAGACTTCCCACTGCTCCTGCCTGGGCATCTCACCCCCTTCTCCTTCCCTCAGAGTACCAGGTGGAGTGTCCCACACCACCGCACCTGACTCGAGTTTATCTCTTGTCCCTCTGCGTCCCCTTTCAATTTGGAAAGTTCCTTTGCACTTCCCCAGACCACCTGACCTTTCTCCCATTTCTTTTACCCCTCTTAATCTCAACCTGTCTCCTCTCTTTTCATGCCTGTTTTCCCACCTGAAAAGTGAGAAAGTTGGACTAGATGAATTCTGTGGGAACTTCTGGCTTCAAAATGCAATTTAGAAAGTGCCTTTTTATTTTAGCTTAGAGTTTCTTGAGCCTCAAGTACACAAAGTTGGATGACTCATACTCTTCAGTTTGTGTCACAAAATCATTACCAGCCTTTGCAAGATCCTTCTTGTGCTTTATTTTACAATCTTATTCTTTTTTTTCATTCCTCCCTAACTCATCTCTATAATGTGTTTGATATGCATCCATGGATATATTTTTTAACTTGGAAAATTTGTAGTGTTATTTTATATATATGTATTTTAATTTACATAAATGACATCATGCTATAGTTTTTTCCTGTTTTTTTTTATTTTAAATTTTTACTCCACGCTGTATGCTTCTCAGCTTTCCCCATGCTTCTTTCCAGTATCCTAGTTTGTGACTGCTCTATGCTACAGAGACTTGCATGGGACGCGCCTAACTCATTCACTTGCCTGTTCCCAGAGAAACGGACACCCAGGTTGATTCCAACTCCTTGTTATTATAGTCAGTACTGCAATGAACAGGCACATATGTATGCCCGCATATGGATGGGGAGATGAATACCCAGAAGTGAAATGGTTGGGTTATCACCTGTATACATACTTCATTTCATTAAGCATGTCAGAGTGCTTTCCAAAAACACTAGTACCAGTTCACACTCCTAGCTGTTTCCTCTTATCCTTCCTATGTTTGGTCGTATCCTTTTAATATTTGCCAATCGAATTGCCTTAAAGTGGCATCTCCCTGCTGATTTAAGTTGCATTTCTGTGATCCCTGGTGAGACTGAGCATCTCTTCATGTTCTTGTGAGTAATCCAGGCTTCCTCTTCTATGAATTGACTATTCACATCCTTTGCCCATTTTTTTTCAATTGGGTTATCTCTCTTTTCTTGCTGATCTGCAGGAGATTTTTTTGTGTATCCTAGACAGAAATCCTTTCTGAGATAAGTAAGACTCTCTTCTCAGTCTGCTAGCCTTCTGCTGCCTGGATCTTGGCATACTTTGGTGAAGAAACAGATTATCCATTTCTAACTCCACCTGACCCTCCATATACCCTTATGACAGAGCCAGAAACAAGACTATTATCTGATTTTATAGAGGAAGGATCAGAAGCTCAGAGAGGTCAGTAGCCCACTCAAGGCCACAGATCTGGACCTCCCAGCTCTGGACTGGAATCCCAGCTCCTGGACAGCTGTGTGATACAGGTGGTTTTACTTCTCTGAGCATCACTTCTCTGTGTATCAGGGCTGCTAATGTTATATTTCTAGGTTATCGTGAGCTATGTTAGATGTCCAGCCCTGGGCTTACA